TCTCTCTCTCTCTCTCTCTCTCTCTCTCTCTCACACACACACACACACACACACCAACAAATAAATCTTTTTTTTTTAATCTAGATAGGAGCATAAGAGATGACTCAGTGGTTAATATTATTGCTTGCTTTTGCATAGGACCCAGACTCAATTCCCAGAACTCATATGATGGCTCACAACTGTCTGTAACTCCAGTCCCAGGGAATCCAACACCTCTTTTGGCCTCTGAAAGCACCAGCCACTCACATGGTGCACAGACATACATGCAGACAAAACCCATGCACAATTTAAAAAATTTAATTTAAAAAATTATTTTTTAAAACTAGATAAAAGCTATTTTTAAAATGAATAAATGGAACTGCTTTAAGAATCCAGTTACTGCCAGGCGGCAGTGATGCACACCTTTATCCCAGCACTCGGGAGGCAGAGGCAGGCGGATCTCTGTGAGTTCGAGGCCAGCCTGGGCTACAGAGCAAGATCCAGGACAGGCACCAAAACTACACAGAGAAACCCTGTCTCGACAAACAAACAAAGAATCCAGTTACTAATTCAGAAAGATTTCAAATGGTTGATTGTTTTTCAATGATATGGAAGGCTAGTTTTGGCTCAGTTCTCACCAATTCTCTTGGGGATGGAGATGTAACTCAGTTGATGGAGTGCTTGCCTAGCATGCTCAAAATTCTGGGTTTGATTCCCTGAAACTGCATAAACCAGGCATTGGTGGTCTACACCTATAATTGAAGCTCTCAGGAAGTAGAGGTTCAAGGCATGCTTGGCTAAATAGCTAGTTTGAGGTTAGCCCATGCCACATAAGGAACCTCTGTCTGGAAAGTTCCAGCCATTATGTGTTTATATCCTCTAATGCCAATCAAATGTCGAGGCATTCTGGGTGATATATACAATGGATATAATAAGTATGCTTATTATAAAGACACGTACCAGCTAAAGGGAATTTTATCCAGCCATAAAGAATAAAATTACGTTACTTTTAGGAAAAAACGCATGAACTGAAAATCTTCATGTTAAGCCAAACAAGCTAGATACAGAAAGACTGTCTTGTGTTCTGCATGTGTGAAATCTAGATTTTAGAACTAAAATGTAGACGTAGAAGGAAGTGTGTCTGAGAAGAGGAAGGAAACAGGAGGGTGGAGCGGTGACGGAAGGAAGGAATGTGACCACAAAAGTCATTTACATGGCTGGACTATAATGATGAAGCCGATTGTCTTGTGCAGTTAGTGTATGCTAAGATAAATGGAAATAAAAAGTTTCAGGTATCTGTTACTGCTAATATACTATAACTTAAAATAAAACTGTAGTTCCTTTTCTCTAGTAACTGAGGTTATTGGCAACATTTTTCCTGTCGTGACTATCATATAAATTTTGGTTTAAAGCTTGATTTCTCACTTTCTTAGGGAAGATTTGGCAGTAAAATCTCATTTTGCATAAGGCTAAGAGATAGAAAGAAATTCAGTAGACATTTTACCAGAGCATTGTAAACATTGCTCTCATTAGAATTTTAAAAAGAATCCAAAGCATTCTTATCTTTCCTCATAGATCCAATCTAAAAATCTAAAGATCTCTGAGTATAAACTTGAGATTACTCAAGCTTTACATATTGTCTTGGAATTCACTGGAGTAATTTTTCTTCCAAAAGAATTACATAATTATAAAACAGTAAAACTCGAATATTATATTTACAACACTGAACTGTCAAGCCATGAAAAATCATAAAGACCTGTTTTAAAGTTACTAGTAATAATTTTTTAATATGACCACAAACCTCAGTTTACATGAAAAGGATAGTTGCACAAATAGGAAATGAAAGAAAAACCTAGTAGTCCACATTTAAAAATAATTTGCCATTCTAATTTCTTATCTTCAGTGTTGTTGCTAGTCTGTTTTTAAGTTTAATAGTCTTCATCTGACTCAAAGCAAAGAAACTTTCTTCCTTACAATTAAATGCTCTTGTAAAGGTTAAGTTTTGTGTCTTTGGCTACTGCAGATCACTCTGGTATTCTCTATCAATTACCATAAAATGAACCAGCCTTGAGTGCTTTCACTTGACATACCTCAACTCATCAGTCCGTAGACTCAAATGTGGTTTGTAGCAGGAAACTAAATAGTAAATTCCCTAGCTAGTGGAATAAAAGCCAGTTCCAAACTTTATTTTAATTTTAGTTTTTAAGATTTATTTTCTTTTATGTGTTTAAATTTTTTGTGCATGTATTTAGGTGTACCAGGTATGTGACTGGTACCCCATGGAAATCAGAAGTACCCTGTGGAGGTCAGAAGAAGGCATTGGATCCATTGAAAATGGAGTTACATACGGTTGTAAACCACCATGTGGATGCTGGGAACTGAACCCTAGTCCTTTGTAAAAGCAACAAGTGCTCTTAACCACTGCTTCATCTTTCCTGCCCCAATTTATTTTTTAATGCATTAATTATTTCAACCAAATGCATGTGTTAAGAAAACCATGAGTAGCTGAGCAGTGGTGGCACACAGCTTTAAGAGGTAGGTGGATCTGTCATGCTCTATTGTGTCTTGAATATACAGTGCTGGGACTAAAAATTGGGGTTTCATGAATGCTAGGCAATCACTCTCCCAACTGAGCTACTTGCTCAGTTCCCATCTCAACTCAGTGCACAAAATGTTACAAAATAAGGTTACAGGGGAGTCCAGCAGTGTTATAAAGTATGAAGGGATGAAAGAAAAACTATTTAGGAATCTGTTGCAGTAATTTAAGCAAATGGCTAATCCTCATCTGAGAGCAGCATGAGGACAGGAACTGTTTTGGTCCTTACAGCAATTAGCAGTTGGCACTTAGTAAATGATTACTGAATGAATAAGAATGGTGACATCTTTTCTATGAGTAATATACTTGAAAAAGAGAATTTTTGTGAGAAGATACACCAAGACATTCACTTTTGGGTATGTAAAACAGAGAGAAACATTTAAGTAGACAGAGCTTGATGATATCTATAGCATATAGGGCCTGTGGATGTAGCTAGTGGTAAAGTACTTGCCCAATAAATGCAAGGTATTGTATCCAGTCAGACACTCCTCTGGCATGTCCTTGTACACAACACAGTTTCACAATGATACTGTGTTAGTAATTCATTCAATTTGTGGCCAGTCTTTTCTTAAGACCTCTGATCTATACCTCATCATGCTTTCCTTATCTTGTATTTTCTCTTTACTTTTGAAATGCAACTTCACTTCATACCAGCCTATTTGGAGACATGACTTTTCTATGAATTTAATCATGACAATAAATGCACACACTGCCCATCTTTCATTTATAGAAACTACAGATGCATTTTCATCTGGATATGGTTCCAGTTAAAGATATATTAACCTAAAGAATGAGTATTATATTTAAATTTTGAAAGAGAGAAAAATAAGGGTAAGAAGAGTTTTCTTGTACCATGGCTGCTCCCAAGTAATTCTCAGAGTGTTAATATTAGTTATAAATTCTCAGTCAATAGCTTGGGCTTGTTACTAGCTAACTCTTACATTTAATTTAACCCATATTTCTTATCTACATTTTGCCACATGGCTTGGTACCTTTTCTCAGTACAGCATGCCCATCTTATTTCTCCCTGATGGCAATTCCCCACTCTGCCCTTCTTTCCCCCAGCACTCTCAATTTGGCTCTCCTGCCTAAATTTATCCTGTTCATCTATTGGTCAGTCAACTTGTTTCTTAAACCAACCATAGCAACATATATTCACACAGTGTAAAGGAATATTCCACAAAAAAAAATAGGACAAAGGAAAACTTACTGTAAATATGAGCTGGCAGTTTAATCCTAATCTTTTAATTTTTTTAAATTTTGAAATAATTTAATTAAGAAAAAGGTTATAAATATAGTACAAGGAACTTCTTCCTGAACACTTGAGATGCTTTGTCCACCTCTCTTTTCTGTTTTAGAAAACAGAGTGATGATATTAACTTTTTATAGATAAACCAAATATTTATTGTGCTTCTAACAGGAGAGATGATGGGTAGATTGGTAGGGATGGATGGGTGGATAGACAGATCTCCTATTAGAAGTAAAACAATCAGGCTGCAGTCCAGCTAATCCAACAATGGCTAGCTGTGATAGAAAGTCTAAGAATCCAGCAGTTGCTCAGTCCCACAAGGCTGGGTGTCCCAGCTGGTCTTCTGAATATGCTGGAATCCCAAAGAAGTAGACTCCAATGCCAGTGAAGGAATGGATGTGCTAGCAAGAGGAGGGCAAGCAGACAAAGAAGGAAACCTTCCTTCTTCCATTGTCCTCATATAGACTTCCAGCAGAAGGTGTGCCCCATATTAAAGGTGTGTCTTCCAGCCTCAAGATATGGATTAAAGGCATATGTCTTCACATCTCAAGATCTGGATCAAAAGTATGAGTCTTCCTACCTTAGAGGTCTGAACTAGAAGAGGATTCACCTACTTCAAACCAAGCAGAAAAGTCTCTCACAGGTGTGCCCTC